AGACTGCAGCGCCAACTGAACCAATGTGTGGACTTCCGCGGACAATTTTTTGGCTGAGTGAACTATCTTGTTATGTACGATCTTTGGTGCTACGCAAGAATAAGACTGCGTTAAGACAGAGGCTGTGGTATAGAATCGACGCACACATATGAGAAGTTTTTTTATCTTTATTTTCTGTGAACTTAATCACCTAAAAGGGCTGATATGGCCAAAATGTCTCGACGAATACACATACTTCGTAGCGAAGAGAAGCTACGTTAAACTAAGAAGATACTATTATTACAGCGTTGTTCAGTGTAAGTTTGTTATTTCCTGTCTTCTCTTCGCGCAAGGTTCCAATTCGTCTAGTGCATAGAAAAGGAAAGAAAAGGAAAAACTACGCTTAAAAGAAGAAGAAGAAGCAATTAATCCTGTCACAGCCACCACAAACCACCCACAGAAATGCTAATTTAAGTTAATATCGCAGTAAAGCAAAAAAAAAAAAAGAAAAAAAAAGGAGAAATCTCATCTTCCTTTAGCGATTGGGAAATTGTTAATTGGTATAAGGAGCAGGGAAGCTGAATTATTATCATGATAATCAGCATTTGCGTGAAGCAATTCTGAATTGCATCTCCACATACATATGAATTTATCTATGGGTCTTGGTTCTAAATTTTATAACATCGTTTGTATTTACCGCCCACCATACATCAGGATTAACAAGTCAACGGAGTCTGCTTTCGTAAAAGAGTTTGCAAAGTTTTTATCGTCATTTCCGGTCAAGAAAGGTTATCCTGTTGTGCTTGGTGATTTTAATTTCCACTTTGATTCTCCATCGTCACCAGGAGTCAAACATTTGACAGAATTATTCCGACAATACAACTTGAATCAGGTGGTCACCGAACCCACCCATCGTTCTGGCCACACACTTGACGGGGTCGTCATCAAGAAAGACTCAGACGCTTTTAGACAAAGTTCTGTTGTAGACAAACTATTTTCTGACCATTTCTTCATCTTACTTGTGTTGAATGTGAGTAAGACCAAGCCTGAAAAAAATTATGTGTCTACAGGGAACATCAAAGGAATTGACATTAATAAGTTTAAAATGGATTTGTTGAAATCTTTAAGTGACCTTAAAACAGTCTGTGCTGATTTGTATAATTCCACTGTAAGGGCAGTTCTTGACAAGCACGCACCACTTGTAACTCGGCGTCTGTAGACTAGACCGTATGCACCATGGTTTGGGGTTGAGGTGAAAGCGGCCAAAATCGAATGCAGGAAGGCAGAGAGACAATGGGTTAAAACAGGGCTCACCATCCACAAGCACATTTTTAGATTAAAGAAGCAAGAGCTGAAAGTTGTAACTAAATGTGCTAAAAATAAATACTATGTTTCTAAATTGGAAAATTCAAAATCATGTAAACAATTATTCGACATTTGTGATGAACTTTTAGGAAGGGTCAAAGAGACACGTCTCCCGAATTCATTTAGTGATTTAGAACTACCCAAAAAGTTTGCTGATTATTTTACAGATAAAGTCCAGAAACTAAGAAACGACCTTGATAACTATGAAACATTGGTGATTTTGATGTATATAATGGGGTGATTCTTGATAAGTTTAAATCTGTTTCTGAAGAATACATTAAATCTGTAATTCTAAAATCCCCTAGCAAACATTGTGATCCCGACCCTGTCCCTAGTTCTCTGTTGTCTTCCTGCATTGACGGACTGATCCCATTTATTACTGAAATCATAAATAATTCTCTAGTGTGTGGATCGGTACCACATTCGTTTAAAATCGCTCTTGTAAAACCTTTGCTAAAGAAACAAAACTTAGATCAGAATGTCTTAAAGAGCTATAGATCTGTTTCAAATCTATCTTTTTTATCTAAAATCCTTGAAAAGGTTGTCCTCGAGCAGCTTCGTCATCACTTACAAGACAACAATCTGTTAAAGTCATTCCTGTCTGCCTATCGAGCTAACCACAGCACAGAAACAACACTTCTAAAAGTAATTAATGACATGCTTACTTACTGTGATTCTGGAAAAGTTGTTTTGCTAAGCCTTTTAGATCTATCAGCAGCTTTCGATACAATTGACCATCATATTGTATTGAAGCGATTGGAAGTATCTTTTGGATTATCCGGGACTGCCCTTAGCTGGTTTTGTTCTTACCTATCAAATCGATACCAATCAGTTGATATTAAAGGGCTTAAGTCATCAGATCATGCTCTTAAGTATGGGGTCCCCCAGGGCTCAGCCCTCGGTCCAGTTTTGTTCACCATTTTTACTCAAACACTTGTCAAGGAAATAGTTAAGTATGACTCAAAGTATCATTTCTATGCTGATGATACCCAAATTTATGGTTCAACATTGTTTACCAACTTAGACAAACTTGTCCATCGTGTTGAAAATTGTATTGCCTCAGTGAAAAATTGGGTGAACAAAAACAAATTGATGTTGAATGATGATAAAACAGAAGTCATTCTGGCAGACAATGCAAAGCCTGTTAAAGAGGTTGACCACGATCACATGACAATTGGTGATGCGAAAATTGCATTTTCAAGAAAAGTTAAGAATCTTAGCATCTATTTTGATTCCAGTTTTTCAATGTCGGCTGAGGTAAATCATCTGATCAGCTGCATGTATCTAGAAATAAGAAAAATTAGTAAAATACGTCATCTGATCAATACTAAGTATACTGCTTTACTAGTGACTAGCTAAATTTTATCAAAACTCGATTATTGTAACTCCTTGTTATCAGAAATATCACTGGAGAATGTTAAAAGATTTCAAACTGTCCAAAACAATACTGCTCGTTTAGTTTTACTTTTAAGGAAAAGAAAGCGAGACTCTGCTAAACCTCTTTTACGGACATTGCATTGGCTTCCTGTTGAGAAAAGAATTGTGTACAAACTGGCCACCCTATGTCACAAAAGTTTGAATGATAATGCACCGTCATGTTTATCAAATCTGTTCAGACTGTACATTCCAACTCGCAGTTTAAGGTCATCAGCTGACAAAAAGAAATTTATTTGTCCATCTATGAAACTTAAAACAATGTGTGAAAGAGCATTTGAATACCAAGGCCCCAAGATCTGGAATGCTTTACCAAGTACTTTAAGAGAGATCACATCTTTTGATTAATTCAAACGTCAGCTAAAGTTTTTCTGTTTTTAAATTAATAAGATAAATATTTGGAGTAATTTTTGTTTAGTCAGAACACAACGTTTTACGTTACTGTTGTACGTTGTACTGTATTGTAAAGCGCTCAAAGCCTGTGTACTTTAATCGGGGTTGAACGCTATATAAATGACATTTATTATTATACACACACACACACTACACACACACACACACACACACACACACACACACACACACACACACACACATACACACACATATTGGAGTTCTCTCTCCGGCACCCATTCGCATAAAAAAAACAATTTACACGTAACGACCTTTGGGACACCGACGAAGATTTATTCACTTTTCATTGTCTTTGATCTTAATGTTCGCTTTCGCTGTGACCATCAGACTTTATAAAAAGCACACGGCTAAAACGATGCATACAACCACTAAATTGATCTTTTGCTTCTTGTAGAATGTTGTAATTTTATCTGATCTATCATCTTGTCCTTGGCAAGACCCTTTTTTCATAGATCACATGACATTGTAGACTATTCTCTTCAACCATGTGTATATGATTTGTGGTCGGTCAGTGTTCGTTCTTAATATGATATGGATGGTCTTCAGAAACAGATTTCAGTGACAATGACACTTCATCCCCGAAACGTCTTCATTCACTGACATAGTATTCTGAGTAGTATGGGTATCTCTGATGTTCATATCTCGGTAAAGGGTAGGATGGGGTTGTTTGGGGTTTGAGGTAAGGGTACAAAGTAAAATGTCTATACGTTTGTCAACTCATTGAAAACGAGCGAGAAGGCTAAGTGAAAATAATATGCTAAAGAAGTTCACTCCGGGATGCCTATGACGTAAGCCATTCTGCCACAGAGAAAACCGTATTCAAGATGTTCAAGATTTTGTTCACAAGAATTGATGTTTCTCCCAAAAATGGCGGTTAGATTTTCCTAGAAAGCTGCGTTTTCAATGAATGACTGTGGAGTCTGCTTGAACCGAAGTATGTGGAACCGCTGTATTTTCTTCGGTAAAGTCGAATTTTCAATTTAGAGACGTTGCTCAAAGAGAAGAAAAAAAAATCGTGGATTTTATTTTTCTTTCGGTTTACCGCTATTTTCGAATTAGCCGTCTTAGGTTTAAACGAACTCCACTGTAGTTGTCTGGGTTGTGTTTAGCTGACCCATAAGCATGGGGCAACTAGTAACGGTCCAGGTTGTGCTGATGTCCGTCCCAGCAGTCAGTTTTCCAGTCACATGTACGGTAGAAGTAGCCCTGTCTGTGGGTGTCATAGAATACCACCAGTCTGTGGGAGTGGCCCGCGGCGTAGGAGGTGGTCAGGGTGAGCTGACTTCCAGTGACAAGTTGACTGTGCTGCTCCGAGGTCAATGTGACCAAGTGGTAGTGTCTGCCAGGAGGATCTCTGTTGAGCAAGGAAATAGTTTTTTGGGTGGGTTTTATAAGCCCTCTTAGTCTTAGAAACAAATGGGTTTTTTTTTAAAGGCGAGACCAACTAGTGTCGGGAAGTCTGGGTTGTTCTTTCTTCTTTAAGGGGGGAGGCTACACCCCCAAAGCCCCGATTCGGCTCAAAATTATGGAATTTGAGTTGTAGGCATTTTTAGCTTCCTCAGC